CACACACACACACACACACACACACACACACACACACACACACACACACACACACGTTGGTTTTTCTATTCCCGTGGGGATTTTGCATTAACTTCCAGTCATTTATATAGCTTAACCTTTACTGTAAACRTAACCCCAGTACATACCTAACCCTAAACTCAATTCAAACAAACCGTACACATTGGGACCAGGATTTGGTCGGCACTAGGCTGTTTGTGAAGAAAATGGTCCCCATGATGCAGCAAATACGTGTCCACACACACACACACACACACACACACACACACACACACACACTGACGATGTTTTCCTGAATGGATATTTTCCAGTAATACCAAACCCAAATATGGACATGAGTTGGGACATTTAGTTCCAATCACATTCACCTTCCTAAACACAAACAGGACATCAGCTCCTACAAAAATATGTTCCCAACCAATTTCAGCAATTACCCTGTAGATAAACTTTTGCCTCACAACTAAACATGTTTTCCTTTAAAGTAATTTGGTGGAAGCTGTTTGATAATTTCAGAGCTAGTTGTATCCAATAAAGACAAGATCATATTCAGTAATGATAATGATGGTTATCATGGCTGAAAATAATCAGTAAAAACAAAAATATTAAATGAACACAGTCTCCCTGATGTTATTAACTTTTCTTTTTCAGATTTGTACAGAACATTTTTGCTCCTCAGCTCCACAATGGTTGGTTTGACCTCTGAGATAAAACTGTTTTTTTTATTTTATTTTAAAATGTATATAAAAAATGTCTGTCTGCAATAGAGAATGACACATTTCATGAATTTAGAAACAGGTAAATAATTTTATATCTAGAAGGATGAAAGAAACTGAAACTTGCAGCAAAATAAATAAACTCCCAAAATAAGCAATAACAAACGAACAAAACACATTTTTCACTCATGTTTGCTCACTCACTGTTTCATAAAAGAACACAGAGCCTTGGGGATGGCAAATGTAAGCAGACAAATACAGTTCAATTTCTTACACTTGGGGTTTTCTTTCTTTTTGTGCAGAATTTAGCTCTTTTTAGAGAAATATTTACTAACATTTATGATAAAGTACTGATTTAGTGTAGTTGCTACAAATGTATGTATGTTTYTGGATCGCTCTTGCATTGTGAATTGAGTTCTCAAGTTGCTTTTTACACGTTTGTGTTAATGGAAGGGGGGTTAAAGGCACAGTGTGTAGGATTTGTTGTTTTCAGTGACATCTAGTGGTTGAGTGGTTGAATCATCCTCCCTGGTCC